GGAGATATATATATATATATATATATATATATATATATATAAATATATATATATATATATATATATATATATATATATGCAAATAAACTTGGAAAAATAAATTAGTTTAGTTTGCCTTTGTCTTTTGATGACACACTTCCTTGTTTTCCTGCTAATCCGATACCTGTGCTTATTCATATGAGTGATATCAAATTGTATACAGTGAGGAAAATAAGTATTTTAACACCCTGCGACTGAAATTTTCATCAAAAAGTAAAAAAAATTCCACAAATCACATTGTATGATTTTTTAATTTGTGTGTTACTGCTGCAAATAAGTATTTGAACACCTGTGAAAATCAATGATATTTGGTAAAGTAGCCTTTGTTTGCTATTACAGAGGGTTTCCTGTGGTTTTTCACCAGGATTGCACACACTGCCATAGTTGTAAAGTAACTAAGTACAAATACTTTGTTACTGTACTTAAGTAGAAATTTTGGCTATCTTTACTTTACTTGAGTTATTATTTTTCAGCATACTTTTTACTTTTACTCATTACTTTTTTACACAATTATCTGTACTTTCTACTCACTACATTTTTTAAAAAGGTAACAAGTAGAAAGTCATTACTCCTATTTTATTCTGAGTTGTTATTACTTAAAAAATACTATCCTGATAAATTGTGTCTTCTGGATAGAGTGAATTTAATTGTGTTTGGATGAGAAGTATAAAAATATACCATTCTGACACACTTATTAGCTTGTACACAACCCATCACAGCTGTACGCTGTTAGAAAAAATATTTTTTGGAGAAATCACCTCCCAATAAATGTTATTTTGTAAAATCTAACTGCTCACTTTTACTCAGTACTTTTACTTTTAATACTTAAGTAGATTTTGTGTCAGAAATTTACTTTTGATACTTAAGTACAAAAAATACCAGATACTTTAAAACTTTTACTCAAGTAATATTTTGAGAGAAGATTTTAACTTTTACCAAAGTATTTTTTATGATAAGATACTTATAATTTTACTCAAGTATCACTTTGAGGTACTTTATACAACATTGGCCCGTTCCTTCACACAGATCTCTAGATCAGCCAGGTTTCTGGGCTGTTGCTAAGAAACACGGAGTTTGAGTTCCCTTCAAAGATTTTCTAATGGGTTTAGGTCTGGAGACTGGCTAGGCCACTCCAGAACCTTGATCTGCTTCTTACAGAGCCACTCCTTGGTTCTCCTGGCTGTGTGCTTCGGGTCATTGACATGTTGGAAGACCAACCATCCCATATTCAATGCTCTGACTGAGGGAAGGAGGTTGTACCCCAAAATCTAACAATACATGGCACCGGTCATCCTCTCCTTAATACAGTGCAGTCCTGTCCCATGTGTAGAAAAACATCCCAAAGCATGATGCTTCCACCACCATGCTTCACAGAGATGGTGTTTTTGTGATGGTACTCCTCATGCTTCATCCTCCAAACACGGTGAAGGGAATTAGGACCAAAAAGTTCTATTTTGGTCTCATCTGACCACAGAACTTTGTCCCATGACCCCTCTGGTTCATTCAAATGGTCATGGGCAAACTTAAGACAGGCCCGGACATGTGCTGATTTAAGCAGGGGAACCTTCCATGCCATGCATGGTTTTAAACCACGACATCTTGTGATGGTTCGGTTATTTGTGACTTTATTGTAATTTATTTTTGTATTAGGTAAAAGTATTAGGGTTGCCAGTCAGGTCTCCCCCCTGACATATAAGATTTTTAACCAGTGTGCGTGGGTTTTACTGTTATTTTAATTACTGGTTTAGGGTTGTTTTGATTAAACTGTCACACAAGGACATACATTATAAAGAAACATATACCCTTTAAATTTTAACTGAAGTAAAGACTGAATAACAGAAAACAGCACAGACAAATCAATTTCACTTTCAATTATATTATTTTTACATACAAAGAAAACAACAATAGTACAAAACAAAATATACCTTCCCCAGTGTCCATATGTGGTGCAAAGACCACTTTAATCCAATATTCCTAAGTCCACTTGTGGTTTCAATCCACAAGCTTGGCTTTTACTCAGTGTTTTAATTCCCAAGCTTAGCTTTAGACTCCACACAAAAAATATTCTCCACAGGCAAAATATACTCGAGAGGAGATATATATATATATATATATATATATATAT